TGTGTGTGTGTGTGTGTGTGTGTGTGTGTGTGTGTGTGTAATAGAGAGCTGAATGACTATGCATGAGGCCCAGTTCAAGCCTCAGTACTACAAAATAAATAAGTAGGCCAATAAATCAATCAATCAACATCTTGTCAATGGGCATTTGAAAATTGTTTATAAGAATTTCTGCCTATTGAAATTCCACAGAAAATTACAATCTCTGTACTGTTTTAGAAAAGTTGACTTAGGTTGGGTAGTCAGATCTCATTTACATATGAAATTATTTATTGATTAAATAGAGAGCTAAGGAATTGGAATCAATTATATTAAAAGGACTTTGGATCATTTTTATGTCTGCAGAAAACCTTGGGGAACCCAATAGTTGTTAAGTGTCTCTGTTCTGCTGCTGTCTTGTGGAGAGCATATTAAAAATACATTCCCTGAATTTATCCCAAGGATGCTAACATCATGGATAAGCAAAAAGCTGAGCACCTGCATTTTAATAATCACAGCTATTTGGAATGCAGTGTCAGGGTGCAGAGTCACTACTTACCCCAAGTCCCCTAACGCAGTAAAGAAGTAGAAATGAGAGCATTAAGTAGATCTCCAGCTATCAGATTTGAGCCAAGCTGTACACCAGTTTTCCTGGTCTTAATTCATCCAGCCCAGGAATGGAGGGTCAAGGAAATGTGGCTAGCCTGCAGAAGTAGGAGGTGTGGTGACAACAGGGGCTCAAGGCAAAAGCTGGGAGGAGCAGAGCAGGGTCTATATTGGGATGTTTTTCTCTAAACTCAAATTTTTATTATGAATAGCAATGGATTTAGTTAATTCCATGGGTCTCAAGAATTTATGATCATGTTTCTCTGTTAAAAATCATATACCATCTTGATAGAGCCTTTAAAAACACCTCCCCCTCCCCAGATAATTGCCACATGACCAGAGATTTCATTTATGGTCAGGCAGTTTGTCCAAATCCTAAGCTCAGAGAGAAGTAGGATGGCCCATGATTCCTGGGACAGCTAAGGAGGTGTTTTAAGACTCAAGGAAAGAAGGTGAGAACCAGCATCCTGTAGGAGCCTCCAAGTGCTTGAGCTTTTGGTTTTGTCATCCTGGGGTCAGATGGGGTTCTGTCACAGCATGCTAGGGAGCCCAGGAACCAAGCCTCTTTCTATGAGAACACAGATGGTCTGCACAGCATCAAAAAACATTACACTCTTACTTTCTGTTCTAGGTAGATATCTCTGGGGATTGTAAAGTGACCTACCAGGCTCAGCAAGACAAAGTGGTCAAGACTAAGGCCCTGGATACATGCAAAATTGAGCGGTCTGGATTTACAACAGTAAATCAGGTATGGCAGATATTGCTTTCTGTGAGGCATTCTGTAGAGATTTAAAATAATAGGAAAGAGCAAAGCAGTATAACTTGAAGACATTTATCATTTTTAGTTTAGGTTATATTTTCACACGTGCCAAATGAATAGATATTTAAATATGCTGTGGGCGTGGGTGATGGGAAATGGTGTAAAAGAGGTGTCTTTTGAAAATTGAAAGGCAGCTGTTGTTTGATTCAATTAAAGATTAAGAATAGCCGGGCGTTGGTGGCACACGCCTTTAATCCCAGCACACTGTAGGCAGAGGCAGGTGGATCTCTGTGAGTTTGAAGCCAGTCTGGTCTACAGAGTGAGTTCCAGGACAACCTCCAAAACTACACAGAGAAACCCTGTCTCCAGAAAAAAAAAAAAAAAAGATGAAGAATAATTACTTCTTACTTATTCACTGATTCATGTATTTATGCAGGTATTGGGTGTCAGTTCAAAAGCCACATCGGTCACCACCTATAAGATAGAGGACAGCTTTGTCACAGCTGTGCATGCAGAAGAGACAAGGGATTTTGCCTTGAACTTCCTAAAAACCATTGCAGGAAAAATAGTATCCAAGTAAGATAATGCCACAACTTTTATTTTCCTTCATATATTATTGTAACCAACCTTTTCTTTTATACATTACTGTAAATAGGAGTGTGTGTGTGGTGTGTGTTGTGTGTGTGTGTGTGTGTGTGTGTGTGTGTGTGTGTGTCTCCATGCACATGCATACAAGGGCTTCTTTATTTTGACTGTGATGTCCTTGAAAAAATGGTTTTTCCTATCTTCTGATGACAGAAACAAAATTCTGGGAAATTATATCAGAAAAAAGTCACTATTGAGACGAGTTTTTGGAAAATAAGCTTTGTTGACTGTCTTGGTTAATAGATGACATGTGATTGCCCTGAACATGATTTTCAGAAAGCAGGTCTAAGCTCAAAAAGGCTGACAGCATCCAACAGATTTTCTCTTGGTGTGATATTTTGAAAGTCTAGACTTAAGCTTCCAAGACTTTGAATAAAATAGTTACACCAGAAAATTTTCATAATTTTGTTGGGATTTAAGGTGTCACTGGAGATTCTGCAGCCTGAGTTTGAATGGAGTAAGTTATTTGGTTTTGTGTTTTCTTAAAGAGTTGCAGTTTTTGTATTTTTCCTCTCACATACATACATACATACATACATACATACATACATACATACATTCTTATATGCTGTTTCCATTTGGTGTTGCACAGGCAGAAATTGGAGCTGAAGACGACTGAGGCAGGTCCAAGGATGGTACCTGGGAAGCAAGTTGCAGGTGTAATTAAAGCACTTGATTCGAAGTACACAGCCATTCCCATAGTGGGGCAGGTCCTCCAGCGTGCCTGCCAAGGGTGCCCCTCTGTAAGTGTGAGCAAACTCGGG